TAATTTAGCATTAACGTATTGTCAGTCTTAAAGGGCATGACAATGATTAGGTTTATAATCTAGTATCTTGGCTTAGACAACAAAATTGATTCTACTAAATTGTATAATTATCAATTAACATTGATGCACAATGAATGTGGTACTGCAGTTTAATAATTATGGTCCACAATTTTGTTAAAAATTTGAGTGAATATTTCCAGAAAGTTGATTGTGGCCATACCTGTTGGAGTAGTAAAGACAAACGTTCAAATTGCTCTTCTTGATGTAACCCCCAAGCTGTAGGCTGCTGTTATTTTAAGAGGTAATCTTATTTTACTTATGGAAAACTGGCCACTGTAATGATTAATCTCTACTCGATATACAGGCTCAATAGTCTCTGTAGTAATCATACTCTATTGTCAATGAAGTACACAAGTCTTAGGTGATCCATTGGCTGAGGAAAATCAATTCATTTAAATAAATTTATTGAGGTAAAATCCAACAAGGGATGAGGTAGCTAAGGCAGTTCATAACTTGTCCTTACTGGTAGCTCAGTAATTTTGTTAGCTAGTATGTTGCATAATAAAAATTATATGGTTGTTAAAATGTTCGTTGCACACACCATAATGGCCGTCAGATGTTAAATGTCAGACCAAGGGGTGAGATTAATGGTAAATGTGACATTGATCAGTGCAATGTGTGACGGTAACGCGTTGGTGTTCGGCTGTTTAAGGCTAGGGGTATGGCCTCGTCACATAGTTATAAAAAAAATAGAAAAACTGGAACTTCGTCTGTGGTAAGGTAAGGAGAAGACACACAAAACACAAGTAAAACTTTAACAATGAAATTTTAATTACGTTAAATAAATCAAAACATGAAAATATGGACAAACAAATATGTATAATAAAATCAATGAATCAAAATAATAAGAATACTTAAATGACACAATGAAAGTTACGTTAAGGCAAAATAACAAGAAGTGCAACAAAAGTTTAGTGGGAGGTGCTGGAATATTGGCTTAAAGCCACCACCTCTCTCAGTACACGCTAACGTCTAGCTGGGAGGAGTGCTGGCTATGAAAGCACGGAACATTCTGAGGACTGATGTTGGGGCGACCCCAGACATCAGGTAGTATTGGGGGCGAGTGCAGGTGCAGCCAGACCGGCGACCAATCAGCGGAGCCGTAGCGATCAACGGGTAGTTTGGTGGTTGGAGTTCGAACAGGTGGCTGGTTGCATACGTTTCTGCTCACCCTGGCAAGCCTTGCTGGTGCTGGTGTTGTTGTCGTTGTTGGACATTTCTTCCATAGTCTTTTTATATAATTGTGAAGACGTAATTTTGGAGGGAAGAGCAGGCTCAATCTCTTGAAGGAGATTATCGTCACAACTCTCCCCCGAAGCCTGCGGTTCTGGAAGAAGTACGTCGTTATGTGGTGGAGTAATGGATGGAGTCGCTTCTACTTCATAAACTCTGGAGAGGGCATCGGCTATGGTGTTGTCAGAACCCTTGATATAGCGGATCTCCAGGTTGAAGTCTTGTAAATACAGAGCCCATCGTAGAAGACGCTGGTTGGTGAATTGGGCTTGATGTAGGAAGCGGAGAGGGTTGTGGTCTGAGAAGATGGTGGTAGACCTGGCGCCTTGTAGGTACGGAGCGAAGTGTTGGAGGTTCAGGACGATGGATAGTAGCTCCTTTTCAATAGTGCTGTAGTTCCTCTGGTGTGGTTTCAGTTTGTAGCTGTAGTAGCTGACAGGTAGAACCTCCTCGCCTCGTAGTTGCATCAGGACACCACCAACGCCGGTACCACTGGCGTCGACATGAAGGACGAAAGGCTTGGTGATATCTGGAGAGGCGAGAATGGGGTTAGAACAGAGGAGGAATTTGAGTTGTTCGAAAGCAACGGTTTGCTGCATGGTCCAATTATACCGTTGCTTGGGACTGGTTAATAGAATTAGAGGTGTGGCGACTGTACTGAAATTCCTCACAAACCTACGGTAGTAAGAGGCAAGACCAAGGAAGCGCAGGAGCTGCTTCCTGGTGGTAGGCTGTGGATACTGTAGGATGGCTTGAGTGTGTGAGTCTAACGGAGCTATGCTGCCACTCCCAATAACATGACCCAGATAACGCACTTTACCTTTCGCGAAAGTGGACTTGCCCAGGTTGATGGTGAGGCCGGCTGTCAGGAGCTTGGAGAACAGACGTCGCAGCTGGAGCAGATGTTCACTCCAGGAGTTGGAGGCTACGACGATATCGTCCAGGTAGGCGTATGTGTTATCCAAGCCCTGGATGACACGGTTGACAGCTCTTTGAAAGGTGGCCGGGGCATTACATAGTCCGAAAGGAAGGCGTTCATATCTGAAAAGTCCAAAAGGAGTGATGAAGGCAGATATCTCTTTAGCGCGCTCCGTTAGACACACTTGATAGTACCCCTTAAGCAAGTCCACTTGGGACAAGTACTGGGCACTACCAATGGCATCAAGGATGTCATCTATCCTTGGCAAGGGGTAAGCATCCTTGACAGTGACAGAGTTCAGTTTTCGATAGTCAGTGCACAACCGCACCTTACCTTGGGGTTTGGGCACCAAGATACAAGGTGAGGCCCAGGGGGACTCACAAGGTGTAGCCAGTCCATGATCCAAGAGGTATTGCACCTCAGCACGCATGACTTCCTTCTTGCTCGGGCTGATTCGGTAGAAGGGTTGACGAATCGGCCGGGTGTCGGGGAGCAGTTGGATGTCGTGCTGGGTAACATTACACTCTTGGGGATCATCTCTGAACAACTCTTGATGTTCTCTGAAGATCTTGACGAGAGGTGCACTATGATTATCCTGAAAGTATTTGGGAAGATCATTAAGGATTTCGGAATTAGAAAGCGCTGACTCCTTGTCAGTGCTTTCGGGAGGAGAAGCTGGGAAGGTCTCGCTGTGGATGTAGGGTTCTGTGAATGTGGAATAATTAGTCAAGACAGTGGGAGGAGTACCATTATATTGCTTCAGGAGGTTGACGTGGCACAGCTGGGTCTTCCGCCGCCTATCTGGAGTCTCTATCACATAATTATTATTATTCCTGCACTCTTTGACGCAGTAGGGTCCTGAAAATCTGTTTTGTAAAGGTGAACCTGGGATAGGGAAATAAGCAAGGACGAAGTCTCCCGGCTTGAATTTTCTTACTTTGCTGGTCTGGTCGTAATGAGTCTTCATTCTCACCTGGGCTTTCAATAGATTATCATGGGCAAAGCGGTGGACTCTCTCTAGAATGTGTTGAAGGTTTTGAAGAAACTGGGGCACATTCTGATGCTCACTGAAGGTGGCATCTCTGAGAGAGTCTTTGAAAGCCTTAAGGGGAGTACGGCACTTACGGCCGTAGAGCATCTCATAAGGAGATACTCCTAGGGACTCATTGGGGAGACTTCTGAAAATACACATTATTAGGTCAATCTGCTTATCCCAATCCTTTGAGGTTTCACTACAAAACTTTTTCAAGAGTGCTTTGATGGTCTGATGACTACGTTCAAGAGAACCCTGTGAAGCAGGATGATAGGGGCTGGACAATACCTGTTTGATGTTGAACTCCTCCAGTGTCCTTTTGAAGAGATCACTGGTGAAGTTGGTGCCACAGTCACTTTGAATCTCCCTGGGAAATCCGTATTGAGTGAAGATCTTCAATAGATGTTTGATAACCGTAGCAGCCGTGATGTTCTTCACTGGAACTGCTATGGGAAATCTGGTGGTAGGACACAGGATGGTTAGGATGTAGGCGTTACCTGAACTGGTCCGAGGTAAAGGACCAACACAGTCTATTATGAGTCTGTGGAAAGGTTCCGCAGGCACCTGTATGGGAATCAGTGGTGCTCTGGGAATGGAGACGTTCGGTTTGCCTGCCATCTGACATGTATGACACTGTTTTACGTACTGTTTGACGTTGTTTACCATACCTGGCCAGTAGTAGTCTTGACGAATCCCATGGTAAGTCTTGTTGAAGCCGTAGTGGGAGAATGCTCCATGGGCCAGGTGTAGAATAGTGGGCCGCAGGCTGGTGGGAATCACAAGTTGTTCGGTGTTGGCCCAATCGTCCTCCTCCTTCAGTTTACTGGGTCTATATCTGCGGTAGAGCAAGTCGTTCTCTAGGAAGAACCCAGGAATACTGTCGGGTTGAGTCTCAGCCTGGAAAAACAATGGTGTTAAAGTAAGATCTTCCCTCTGCAACTTACGGAACTCCAACTTGGTCAGATGCGGGGGTAGTTTCTGAGGGTCTTGAGGGACAGCGGTAGCAGTAGAGTCAGCTGGCTGTGGACGTGCGGCTTGTGCACGGGTGGTCACGAGAACCGGAGGAGAAACTTCATCACTCTCTTGAACCTCTGCTGGAACATACTCAAGAATAGGATTTATTGGCACAGAGTTACACACCTGGGGTTTGTCCATGACGATCAGGTTGGTCGGTTGCAGGTCTTCTGCCAAGTCGTTGCCTAGGAGAAGTTGCACTCCAGGCATGGGAAAAGGCTTTTCCCTGACGGCGACTTGGACTTCCCCGTTCACGTAGGGACAATCCAGGTGGACTCTGGCGAGAGGGTATGGAGTGGTAGCAGTGAGGTCAGTGATGAAGACTGTTTCCCCGGTGTAGACTATGTTGGGCACAGCCGACTTCAAGATGATCGATTGTAGAGCCGCTGTGTCCCTCAAGATCTTCAATTTGAAACGTCCCTCCGGATTTGAACCGTTGGCAGAGACAGTTCCAGTATACAGGTGGTTACTGAAAAGAGAAAGATCATTAACATCAACACCAACATTCATCACAGGCTTACCGGACTTAGGAGGAGTTGGTTTGGGTCGTTGTTGGTCAGTGGTTCCCTTGTATTGAGACTTACCACACTTGTCTATGGTATGTCCATAGAGTCTACAATACTTGCAGTGCAGTTGTGAACCAGCTTGATCGGGGCTCACCTTCTCGTAACTGTACCACGACTTCTTACTGGAGGATGGTTCAGGTGTCAGCCGGTGGATGAGGCTGTAAGTGTCAGCCGACTTAGCACACTTCAGGTAGTCGGTTTCTTCTTTATCTGCTAAGTAGAGGCGGACTGGAGGCGGCACACGTCTCAAGAATTCTTCAACAAGCATCAGGTTGACGAGTTCTGTAAAAGTAGAGACATGTGCTGCTTCCAGCCATTTCATGAAATACCTCCGTTTCGTGTTAGCAAACTCGAGGAAGGTAGTGGTACTTGCCTTCAGGTGGTCACGGAATTTCCTTCTATAACTTTCGGTGGAAAGTAGGTAGGCGTCCAACACTGCTTGTTTCAGAGTGTAGTAGTCATTCTCAGACGCCAAAGTACTGAGTGTGACTGCAGCTCTACCTGTAAGATGGACTCTGAGAAGTGTGGCCCATTGGTCGACAGGCCAACTGAGTTGATTAGCAAGGGTTTCAAAGGTGGTAAAGAACACATCAACTTCTGCTTCTACAAAGGATGGCATTAACTTACTTGCATGTGATATATTAAAACTGACGGGAAGATTGGCAGTAGCTTGCTGGCGTTGAGTGAAGTGTGAAGTTTCCAAGGCGATTTCGCGTTGACGACACTCTAGAGCCAGAGTCGCTTGTTGCTTGTCATGTTCGCGTTGTATTTCCAACTCGCGTTGTTTGGTTTCAAGCTGTAAGCGTTCCCGCTCCTGGAGTGTTTCAAGCTGTACTCTTTCACGTTCACGGAGTAATGCGACCTCGCGTTCGTGTTCTTCTCTCCTCAAAGCAGCTTCGCGTTCTCGTTCGTCTCTCCTCATAGCAGCTTCGCGTTCTTGTTCTTCCCTCCGTATGGCAGCTGTTCGTTCTTCAATCTTGGCCAGCTCTAGTTTGAGTTTCAGCGTTGCCAAATCAGTTTTATCTGCAATATAGTAAGTTTCATGAGTTTCAGAGTCTATCTTACCTTGCTCTAAATAGTAATCCAGCAACAGGTTGTGTATGTCATTTTTGTTGGCTTGATAGGGAACTTCTAGTTGATACTCATGTGCAAGAGTTTGTAGTTCAGTCCTCTTGGCACGACTTAAAGTCCCTATTTCACCTGCTGGATTTGCACGGAAAGTTTGGAGACGAAACATGGTGAAATTAGCAAATAAAGGTACACGAATGTTCAATAATGAAATGTCAGAAACAGGACAACGTGGCAACTGGTACCTATCCTGTGTGATCTTTAACAATTAACGTTAAGTGAAAGATATTAAATGATTAAATTAAATCAAGGGCGCAGGAAATCTTGTACCCGGTACTCATGTAAGAGAATAAGGGCAAGAAAATCCTACTAACAAATGAAACAAAGTTTCGAAAACAAATGAAACAGTTAAATGCTTCAAAAGTAAAATTGGTAGTCCAAGAATGTAGGCATACCTTGCCAAGTCTCTATAGGACATAAAGCAAGTTTTTCCCACTGAATTTAATATGATACTTACAGAATTAGCGAACTTTTGTGCTCTGAAAAAATAAGCTAATTCCCTACCGTTGTATGTATCATCATCTCTGACTGACGTGTAGGGGTGCGAGGTGTCAACTGGTGACGAGAACTGCTGCTGAGGTCCCAATTCAGCAACTAAAGTTCGAGCTAGAGGAACTATGGCCCTCTTTGTCCTCCTACAGTCAGATTGCAGAAGATTGGGTACTCTTGACCCGGGGCAGACCACAGTACCAGGGTACCAATATGATGATCTGTCAGAATGAGAAATATTCAAGGGACATAGATGGTAAATACGAGTAATAACATGGAGGGAGAGATGACCAATTAAGAGTATGACTGAGGCCTACAGTCACCACGTAATCCAAAGTTGTCTCACCTTCACTATATGTTACTCTCGTAATGCACAATACACCGCACCTTATAAAAAATGAAATTGAATGAAAAATAGTAAAGCTACGTTAACAGAGTTAAATACGCTTACCATAAATTACCACTTGGCACCAGTACCTGAGTGAAGCTCCTAGGACAGGCCCCCATATAACTTGTGACGGTAACGCGTTGGTGTTCGTTAGCTAGTTAGCTAATTTTGTTAGCTAGTATGTTGCATAATAAAAATTATATGGTTGTTAAAATGTTCGTTGCACACACCATAATGGCCGTCAGATGTTAAATGTCAGACCAAGGGGTGAGATTAATGGTAAATGTGACATTGATCAGTGCAATGTTACTAGATTCTTGAAACTTTCCCATGCATGGTCAAATTTATTATGTAATTATTTTAATTTGTATCTATTGGTTTGGTGTGCAAATGTTATTGTAAGTTTCATAAACTTTCTAATGTGACTTGTTATACTGAGAGCACTTTATGAATATTAAAGTACCGAAGTTCATAATTTGTAAGCTTAATAGTAACAAAGTATACTAAAATGTATTTATTTTCTCTTGACAGGTGGAGACGCATTATCTGAAATGGCTGTTGCAATGTATTGAAATTAAATTTTATTAAAAACTCTGGGTTAGTTGAAGTCACTTATTGTAAATAGTGATATTGTGGTGTTTTAGAGTAGTTTCTCTAATTTTATTGAAACGAGCTTTTTCAGTGTTTTGGAATGTTTAATAAGGTTCTTGGCACCATCTGTGTCTTGACTACAAATTTACTTGTTACTAGATTATAAATATATTGGTGTTCTGGCCAGTTTACCTTGTTTGAGCAACAAGGTGATGCAAGGCAGTTTTTTTCCCAACTTGGCTGTAGTTGTTAAAGCCAAACGTAACTTAGAAACGTTGGTTGCAAGTTTGTAGTGTGGTGCATGGGATTGAAGGAATAATCACCGCTCCACATTGATAAGATAGATTCCTGTTGCATTGAAGTCGGCAAGTTGAATAAATGTTTTGGAAAATATTGTAGTTATAATATTGTACAACATTGTGTTAATTAGAATAATGATCATAACTTGGTGAAAGGGTGGTTATTATATTGGTTTTCAATTTTATAATTACTTTATTATAGCAAATGTTTGTATTTGAAGGTAGTTAAAATCTAATTTATATATTACCTGTTGGTAATATAGTCGCCAACATCAAACTTAAAGTATACAAGGCATTATAGTAAGTCTTTACCAAAGTTCATGTATATTAGGATACTTAATGTAGGTGTACATAAGCTAAAAGTTGAAAAAATAACGTTAATAGAACACAATTGTATAGATTATCATTGCCCATACTGTAGATATTAGTGATAAGGTTTCTACTAAATGAGTTCCATCTCCCTTTCTGGCTGTCGTTGTCGTGACGTAAAGTAGAGGGTGGGGGGTGGGGGAGGGGGGGTTAAACGCACAACTGTCAGATTAGTTTCACTTCACATCTGCAAGGTGACAATCTTTCATAATTTCACATTCAATGATCTTGTAATATCGACACATTGGTTTTTAAAAACAAACCTCACTTTTGATAGTATCACCTTTTGATAGTAAGACCCTTCAGCCACCTATCATTCTTGCTGGTGCCAGATGCCCTGTTCAAGAGTACATCCCCCCTCTCACTCATTGTAATAAGTGAGGCAAGTTCGAGCACGGTGCCCTCAAATGCACAAGTCTTCGTTTCTCTCTGCCCCATGTGTGGGGACGATAGCCACTCTAAGACGATTGCTCATATCCCCCGGGCTCGCTACCTGAATTGCGGCGAGGCCCACCCTACATTCTCTCGCAGGTGTATCGACTCAAAGCTTGAAGTAGTCCTTAACTTGAAACACCAGGATCATTTGACTTTTCCCGAGGCAAGACACGGTTTGCAGTGTCCACTTCTTCACTGGCGTATCTTATGCTCGCACGTTGTTCTACCTCTCGTCCTTCCCACCTTTGTCCCACAACCATTTCTAGGGCTTGGACCCGAACATGCCCACCACCTTCCCTGTTCCTTTACGTCCTGGGTCGGAAGGTATCTCTCGTGAATCTCCTTCTGGATTCCCTCCCCCCCCCTTTCCTTTTCCTACCCTGTCTGCCAAGTCATTTCGTTTTCCCCGATCCTTCCTGTCCCTCCCCACTACCTCTTGGCCCTCCACGTCGCCTGTCTGTCCAGGCTGATGTCCATCATCCTCCCAGCAATCTTGATGTTGTTCACTCCCATTCTTCACTTAAGACCCTAGTCAGTCGGCCAGTACGATGTTACTGGAACACCTGTCCGTCAGAAACGTAAGCCTGGCTCCTCTCCATCCTCCTCCTCCTGCGGGTAAGAAAAGAGACGGCATTCCTTTCTTCCTCGCCCTCTAACTATTGCTTACTCCCCATTTTATTGGTTGGGGCCCCCTGTCCCTAATGTGGAAGTTTCTTTTGGCCCAATTCCCTCTTGGTTGCTGACCTAGAGTTTCTACCCCCTATCCTCCTGGCCTTGACAGCCCCTCCCCCCCCTCCCTGAACCCTGTCAATCTGCCTCTGGTGTCCTGCTCTTTTTTTCCCTCCATTCTTACTAAGTTAACCCATGGCCCGCTAAACCTTATTCTGATCTTTAGCTTTTTTAACATGCTGTGTTATTTACCTTTGTTTCTTTGTTCTGTTGCTGTCCTTTTATTTTTTTGATGTCAATTCTTCAATGGAATATTCATGGGTTTTATGCTAACTCTCATGAACTCCAATTTCTGTTTAGGTTTCACCACTTTGTCTCTGGGAGCCGATGCTTGGTGCTCGTCGTGATAACTGTCGTGGTTATTCCTTTATTCCCCTTCCCCCCCCCCTTGATCTTGCTGGGGCCCATAACTATATTGGTCTCTTGATTCGTACTGATAATCTCTTTGTCCTACTGTTTCCATGTGCTATCCATTATTTTGCTGGCCATGTTTTTGAGTAAAATGTAGTCTGTTAAATTTTTCCCCCAAATGTCCCTCTTTCCCTTCCTGATGTCAGGAACCTCCTGGACTCCTTAACAGAGCTGGTGTTCCTGTTGGGTTATTTAAACTGTCGACATACCCTTTGGGGTGATGTTGACACACCCGAGGCGGCCTTCTCGAACCATTCGTTCTCTTCCCTGAATTCTGGTGAGCCCACCCCATGTGGACTGTGAGTCTCACTTTCCTGTCTTGATCTTTCTCTGATCGTCTCTGTACTTGGATATCTCGTGGAGGGTTCATAACCTCTATAAGTGACCATTTCACCATCCTTGTTTTCCCTTGTCTTTTCACCCTCCCCTCTCCTTCCCTAGGTGGCAGTTTGCCAAAGCTGATTAGAACCTATTCACCCTCCGTGCTACTGTGACCTCTCCTTACTACCTCTTCCTTGCACCCTCCTCGTTTTCATTAGTCTTCGATGTTACCCTCTATTCCTTGCTCTTCCTCCCAGGGCACACGGAAGTGCGTTCCCGGGACTGCGGGTTGCTAGGGTTGTCGGCTGTAAGTGTGCAGGCTGGAAAAGACTGACGCTGGCAGATGGCTGATTCTTATATTTTGTTTCAGAAAGTGCAGTGGCCTGTTGGACCACCTGGACAGCGAGGCGCGAGAGTTGGAAGTGTTTCCACCATTACGTCAGATACTCCTCTGCCGCAGATTTGGAAGATTTGCAATATTGTGGGTAAGCTCATTCCCTATGACTAGCAGGTTCTTCACCTCTGTGGTACTCTGGTGGTGGAGCCAGTGCAGGTCACAACCGAACTGGGTTCTCACTTGTTAGCTGTGGTTCTAATCTTCAATTTTTCCTTAAAGACGTTCTTGAATCTCGTGCCTTAAACTTCCACACTCGGTGGTACTACATAGCCTTCCCGGTTTGGTGGGTTTTATAAATTTGTACTAAATGAGGTTTAAGTTCTTTACAAGTGGCAAATACATTTAGATCTGTGTACAGTTTGCTTATCTATTTAAAATTAAATCCCATTTGATCCGCAAGGAAGCAAGAGTGATTTGGCATGAATCCTGGGCGAGTAACTGTATCATCTGTTTAATGGTGTAAAATTGGTACCTAGTTAAATTTTTAGTGTTCTGGGGTAACATGGAATAAAGTTATTGGCCTAAATGGTACGCATGCTTGTGGCTGTACAAGAATGAAAGATCTGTCGTATTGTTTTTTTTGACATAAATAGCAACAACTCTTGAGTTTGCTTGGCATGTTTCAAATACATGTTACCAAAGATATATGGGGGAGGGGAATCGTAAACTATAAATTTGAAATACAAATTTTGTAGCATATAAACCTTAAATGTGGGCTTCAAAGTGCTTTATCTTCTAATTTATAAATTAGATATGGGGGGGGGGGGAAGTAGATAATTTGTTAGTGTAACTTTAAAATGACAAATATTTTAAAGTTAAACAAAATGAAATTGCTATGCAAAACCTTATTAACCATATTTAATGTTCCATTGACAGGTTGTAGAAGGTCCTTCCAACATAACTTCAGGAACAGTTGCAGAACAATCACTGGAAGTGTTAAATGCTACAGAAAGTAGCATAGTTGTCAGAATTAGAGGGCCAAAGTAAGTTTATTTAGTTTAATAGGTAAAATGTGTTTACATAATTTTTACCTAAATATTTAATGAAATTGTGAAGGGACCTTGAAATTGGGTAAATTGAAACTAGTTTAAGGCCTTGACTAGTGGGTACTATATCCTAAAGTTAATTCTTGCAAGAATTGTGCTTTGAATAGAATAAATGGGACTTTAAATTTGTGAATGTAAAGTTGGGCACTAACTGTTAAACGGCATAAATTTGCAAGTTAAAGATTTTATGAAATGTTTTATTTAAATCTTAATTTGTTTACTTAACTTCTGGTGTTAAGTTGGTTGCATGGTTCTTACTTATTTGGCTAGAAATTATTCATTTATAAATAACACATCACAATGTGATATTTCTAATGCACAAGGGCTGTGATGAGGGGTTCAAACTTATGTCGGAGGATCCCAGATGTGCTTTAAGACTGTGCCACAACATGGTAAAAGAATCCCAACTGGGAGGTCTACTGACATCATGGATTTAATCTACGTTTGTAGCTTAAAAGGTTATGTTCATAAATTAAAGAATCATTTAATGATGGTATAGTACACAAATTAAATATTGAATGGTAACTGTACTTCAACTTAGTTTATTTATTTGAAGCTTAAATAGATATTGTCTTCCAGAATATTGATGGGAAAGTCGAACTTCAGCCCTGAGTTTGAAGGTGTTAATTGCTTGACATTCTGAATTAGGCGAGTGTGGTAGTAAACATTATAACTTAAACAATCACTCATTATGGCTGAAGATAATCTGAAATGATGCTTACATGTAGATAAAATAAATTGCTGTCTTTAATGTACTTATGGTTAGTCAAACTAAGTTTAATGTTTTTGCTTGATTAGCATTAAAGGAGAATTCTAACAATCTTAATTGTAAGATTAAAGGAACCTGCATATGTAAAATCTTGTTTAACAAGCTAATTTGGGTAAATGTTTCAGGTGGTATGGAAGATTACAATGTCATCAAAGCATTGACTGGCTTCAGTGTGGTTGTTCTACTCTGCAAATCTACGAAAGTTGGTATGTGGAATTAAGTGTTTTAGCTATGTCAACTAATTAATTTACTTTCATTCATCTAGTCCATTTATAGATGTGTACCAAAGTCCTACTGTTACAACCTGCAGGGATTGATGCAGTTTGTACTGATCCTACCCCATCTCATAAAGGGGACCAGGCAGTCCTGCAGATTTCCCTGGCTTGGCTTTTTCAGAGCCCTGCTCTACTACCCATCCAATAGATGGACTAGAATTGCATAGGTGTAGGGACCTTTAACAATGTGCAAACATTGGAACCAATTGCCGCGTAACATTGTGGAGGTGGGGTCCCTCGATTGTTTCAAGCACGGGTTGGACAAGTATATGAGTGGGATTGGGTGGTTATAGAATAGGAGCTGCCTCGTATGGGCCAATAGGCCTTCTGCAGTTACCTTTGTTCTTATGTTCTTATGTTCAAACATTGTTAATCACCACAGGACTTGTTCACTGAAAGAGTGGATACATCCAGAGGTTTAGTGCCTGAAACATGATGTACATAGGCTTTACACCATGTTGGGCACTAAACCAAAAGATGTGATGCACTCTTTCAGCCAACAAGTCTTGCCTCAAATGGAAGTAAGGGGTAGGCCTTGCTGAGCCAATGTTAAAAGATTGGCACTTAGGCGTTTTGGTGCTTATAGATAGGTGTTAGTGTTAATAAAATGAGTGTCCCTGTTTGATATACTTTATTTTTCCTTTACAGGTGGATGTTGTCCTTGGTACTCTGGTTTTCTCTGGCCTTTTGATGATCTTTGAGTCTTCAGTGGATTGAATCTAGGAGGAGCAGCTTCCCACAACCTGAAATAGACAATACTGATGTTACACTGTAAACTATTAAATAAATATTCCAATGAAACTTTATACTGTACTTTATCCTGAAATTAGCAAAGATTCTATCATGCTGGAAATTACTGATGCAAAGAACTTGTGAAATTTATAAATAACTTACTAGAGTGAAAAATGAATTGACATCACTAACTTCAGAGTTTTCTGCATGTAATATGCCAAACTGGATTAAGCTGATAAATCTAAACTAACATTACTAAATTGCAAAGTATCTTAATTTTACACTTGACTAAAATTAAACTTATCAATTGTATGGACTACATTTAAGGCTAAGCAACATTGAAAGATTAGTGGAAGTGTAAAAAAAAATACGTTGACTTAAATGTCAAACTAAAACATCTATACAATATGGTTTTTCACCAATACCTTACTAAATGCCAGACCTGGAACACTGTGGTTCCAGTAATCAAAAGTTAATTATAATGGGCTAGATATTAAAACTTGATAGGAAAGTATGAAACTACCTATTGTCAAAAATAAAATCCAACTCTGAAAGTTCTAGTATAAGAAAAACTAATATTAGACATGACCAGTGTGACGGTGTTCCCCCCCTTATATTTCTCCCACGCCTGCAGTAAGAGTCATGTCCACTTTTCCCAAGCGTTCTCTACGTCGCAGGCATCGATTTGATATATGGGAGAGAGTGGAGTGATCTCGGAGAGCCGAGAAATTTGTGAAACAGTAATATTTTGGCCTGTGGTTTAGGCCCTTTAGGAAGCCAAGATGGCGCTGGCTCTCCTGTTTCCCCGCCAAAACTGTGTGACGTCAGTGGCACCGGATTGGTCACCGACAGCAATGTGGCACCGAGAGCCAATGAGAACTTCCCGTGGCGAAAGTGACGTCACGAAAGGAAGGGGGTCCGGGCAGCGCGCCGCGCTGGCGCCAGCAGTCAGACACGACACGTCAAGGAGGTTGGACGTGCGACGATTGGTCCTGTCAGTTTGACAGTTGTTTCCCGCTCCCGTGGATTTACGCGTCACCTGAAGTCTGCCAGTACTCTGTGAGGTCTTCCCTAGTTCATGTGTTGAACCAGAGAGGGAATCGACGGTTATTGAGCAACAAGTGCTCCAGTCAGGTACTGTGCAAGAAGAAGTGAAGTCTGTGCAGTGACGTAGGCGACGTCTGAAGCAGTTCACCCAGTCGTGACGGCGTAGTGGCTGACAGAGCCACTGGGTAGCAGAGGAAGAGAGGACTATTTGGGATTCCGGACGACTGCAGCTGAGACGTAGGCGGCAGCCGTTGTTGGGAGAAGTCGACGGCCAGGAGACCGACTCCGACCCTACAAGAAGTCGAGGAAGAGTACGGACCTGCAGGGAAGAAGGCACAGAGACGACGCGCTAAACGGTGGGACGACGAGTGGTTCCGGTAGGACACGACAACGTGTGTGTGGGGGCGTTCCCGACACAAGGACCAGGAGCTACAACTCAACTCTCATCGGAGGATAGGTTGAAGTAGGTGTTTCCAGTTTCCCTCCCCATTCCCCTTTAGTTAGCTATATTATTCGGCTATATTATTTAGCCTGAGGATTTTATATGTCGTGAGCAAGTCTCACCAATGTCACAATAAAGCACCAGTGTGCAGGATAGTACTATCAAGAGTACTTATAATTTTCATGTTTATTATTGGTGTGTACAGGCACCCGGAACAAGTGATAAATTTACTGTGTTTTGTATATCTTTCTAGAGACTTTGATGAGAACATATAGTGATAAATTATATATAATATTATGCCAGTATTTGGAGGTTAGGCTATGTGCCCAGAAACTATGTATTTACCATTTATTGATGTCTAATTTATATACATTATATATGTCTATGTTCATGCAGTGATTAATCATTTGTGAGTACAGTGAATTATTGTGTTATCGCCCACGAGAGAAAGTACTGAAAACTCCAGTGTTAAATACTTCATAATATATCATTGAATGAGGGGCAGGTAAAACCATTACAGTGAGTCATTGTCGCATTGATTGTAGAAACGACTGTTTGAGCCCAAGTATAGTGTAACTAAGTAATACATGCTATTTGTTGCCAATCTCGAGTGTGCGAGTTTCTAGTAATATTGGAGAACTTAAAGAAACAGCGCGCGCGAATCTAGAAAACAAGCAATAAACTTTCGCGCGGAGCCAGGCGATCAGCTGTTCTTGACATTGACGAGGAGGGGAGGTGTTGCCACTTAGTGAGTGCATAATATTCGTGGGAACTACCGGCCACAGCCAGGATCAGCTGATCTATTTATTGATTGACCTTGTGACATCTTTCATGCTTTTTAAGTAAAATACAAAATTACTTTTGTGTTTATATCATCCCCTCCATTGATCTTGTGGCTATATTATACTGGAAAGCAAAGAGTGATAAGAGTAAGTACCTGCCGGATTCCTGATCTTTTGAGTGTGACCTTGCCAAGGCTACCACTAATTCCACCAGTCCACTGAGGTGTTACTGGACACCGAAAACACCAGTTGGCGACCTTGTGGTTAATAGTAAAGCCCTATGGTTGTGGCGGGCCACACAACAGTTAAGTAAACAAGAAGTGTGTTCCCACTCCTTCTCAATTAGAAGGCCGGTTGAGATTGACTGGGATACTCTCCTGGCATGCAGTGGCGCCGAGAGGATTAGAGTGAAGACCCGCAGGGCTACGGTGAGGGACCTGGAGATAACCGTTGCTCAATCAGAGTAAGAGCAAGAGTAAGTGTTAACCCCAACATTGGCAACCTTGCCAGGATTAAGTACAGTTAAGGTTGCTCACCGAGTAGAGAGAGAACTGTGATACCCCAACACCAGTCTGCCTTATTTCCTGGACTTTGATTTGTCCTACCAAATATTTTGAATGAAAATTTCATTATTCACACCAGACATCCCATAACCACAAATGTTTCAAGCTGATGAATAGAAGTAATTAAGGATAGTAGTGTATTATACACTACCTGTAAAAAGTACCATAAACTGGAAGAGCCTTACAAACTAAAATTTATAATTACCACATGCCTAGAATTTAATCCAAACTTAAATGAACTCTCAGCCAAAATTACTAAAGTTAAAAGATGTTCATAACAAGTTTATCTAGATTTCAAATGTCACTCAAATCTTCGAAATAACCAAGCACAAAACTGTCAGATTAGTTTCACCTCGCATCTGCGAGGTGACAATCATCTTGTAATAACACATTGGTTTGTTAAAAACAAACCTGGTCACTTTTTTGTGGAAATGGTAACCAGCTATTCAAACAAGACTTCTGGTACACATGTCACTTGCTTGCTAAAGCTGTTGATAAGGTACCATATGAAAGAATAGGAGGGGAAAAACAGGCACAGAATCAATGGTAGAAACTCAATGGTAACAGTCAAATTAAAGCGTCCTAAACAGAAATGACTGGAAAATTTTGCGAGATTCATACCACAAGGGTCTAAACCTTATAAATCGATGACATCAAACACCAAGATTTATAGAGTAAAAAAAAACCAATGATATCGAGGCCTTACAAAGATCTACATGAACTCTAACAATGGTAACAAGACTGACAAATTCTTCTTAATATACAAATAACATTGTTCTGGCTCACATGCAAGGTTTTACAATCCATATCACAACTACCACATTAACATTACAACGAAATAGAACGATGAAATAAGGACCTTCGAGTATGAATCCATCATTCACCAAAAGTTGATGCAGTGAAAGGTAAGGTAATTATCCAAAGAAGGCACCAAACCTATGTAGCCTACACGGCTACATAGCACCCTCAAACTGCGAAATAATCACAGGGCGCTAAATATCACCAAGAATGCCAATACGAGAACAGAACGCATAAGGCGAA